CGTTGAGCACAGATCTTTTCTTTAATGATCACTGTACCTTTGCGCCTCGGTTCAATGCTTTGTTCGTGGTCACTGAACCAGAGTATGGAACATGGTGAGTGAAAAGAATGGTCAATCAAAGGTTTTTCCGCTATTTTGAATTTCACTGATTAAATGTGTTCACTCTTTGACTGTTAATTTGCTTGTTTTTCNCGTTGAGCACAGATCTTTTCTTTAATGATCACTGTACCTTTGCGCCTCGGTTCAATGCTTTGTTCGTGGTCACTGAACCAGAGTATGGAACATGGTGAGTGAAAAGAATGGTCAATCAAAGGTTTTTCCGCTATTTTGAATTTCACTGATTAAATGTGTTCACTCTTTGACTGTTAMTTTGCTTGTTTTTCGGACGTGTTTACACACTGGATGCAGCTAAAATCACACACGTATATTACAGTTCATTCTCACATGGGACATGCCGCTGGCCAGGGTATGGTTTTTGGCCTTGCTGTCTTAAACAGGGTCTACATTTCACCCGAAATTGTCTTAAACAGGCTCTACAATTTTAGATAAAAGACCGATATAATTTTTTKTGTGTCTTGGACAGGGTAATATTTTCATAAAAAACACCGTAGAAATAGTAGAAATACCGTTTCACTGTCCCAGGATTAACGTGTTATCAAAAACGTCTTATTGTCTTTGACTGGATGTCAGTATAATTGCAGTTTTGATGGTTGCGGCGTAGATAGTCTCACAATGGAGAAAATGCACATTTGTAGGACTATTGTAATGACAACATTTTCTCCTCGTTTCTTTTGGCAATCTCTACACATGAGAGACTGTTGTCAACTRAAACAGCGGTTCTCGAGGTCATTTCTAAAGAATAGCATGCACTGAATAGCTTGAAAACACTACAAACATTCATCACTTAGGGCAGGAGGTGTGTAGCGACGCCATTTCCAAAGGTATGTAACAAAACATGATGGGAGATACTTCAGAGAGTTTCATGTGAAGAAAACATTTCGCCACTCGCTTGTCGTGTCAAGGATAATACGTCAGTCCTCGATATGTGAGAGTATGTTCCGCTGTGCAAGCATATTTTTCGTCAAGGGTCTGGGACTTCTCTAGGCTTCTGTTTGCATTACGAAAATTTTACACAATTTGCAAAACAACCATTTCTGAATTTAATATAAAACATACTTTAATACATGAGCAATACAGAGAAAATAAGGGATATTGATTAAGGCGGGATATTGAAAATCCGATATCCATCTCCAGTGATTTTCCAACACGATAAAAGTCCAGTGAACGGAAGTAAATGCCTGATTCCATAATGTGCTATAATAAGTGATGATTATGGATGTGACCGGTCACGTTTTCTGTGAAGGAAGCATGAATATAACGACCTTAGAAGTTGTGACGTCAAGCATGTTGTATTTAGATGTTCGTCACATGTATATACAATCTTTGTTCTAACATCAGTTGTGTGCAACTCACGTGAAGATATTTGATCAGTGACAATGGATAAAAATAGCTACTTTCCTGAGAAAAAGCTCGATCATTGAAAAGTTCAAAACGCTCTGTTCAAAACGCTGAGAGTAATGGCGGAGCTGAACGCATACGCTTGCAAACTTGAGAAGGAACTCACTTGTACCATATGCGAAGAGATCTTTACCAACCCAAGGACGTTGAGATGTCTACACAGTTTTTGTTTGGAATGCATATCTGACTGGAACGCGTTGTGTAGACGACAAACACAGCCATTGACTCGCCCCGTGTAAGAGAATCCGGAATCCGGAATCCAGTAAAAATGAAGCTTTGGAATCCGGAATCTCTATCCTGGAATCCGGAATCCCTGTCCTGGAATCCGGAATCCAAATATTTGGAATCCAGAATCTGGAATCCAGAAAAAAAATTGAAATCTAAAAACACATATCGTCACGCTGACAAACAAGCGAAAATCGGGCCGAGTCCTTCTGTGTGCTTTAGACATGAACTAGTGGTTACTCAGTGTGTTCTCACACATTGCGGCTTGTCTTAATTTCATGCAAATTTCGTTTTGCTTTAATTTTTGTTGTCTGGCGGTAAAAAATATACTGAAAAAAATCGCGCGCTTTAAAGGTTATAAATTTGATGTATTTATGATGTAAGTGTCCAAAATGATGTAAAATTTACATCATTTTGGACACTTACAACATGTTTCCATCAAATTTACAACCAATAAAGTACGCGATATTTTTTTCCAGTGATACTTTCCTTATGTCATCCTTACATGGACAGTACAGTAATATCCAAGCAAGAGTAGATTCTAAATATACTTTCTCATACTCATTAATTATTCATGAGGTATCCAGCCAATCCCTGATTGTAATTTGTACCACGTGAAGTAACTTGAAACCAGAGGAAGTACTCGTACCTTGTATTCTACCTTTTCTTCTTTCCAGTTACTTATACCTTTTTCAAGTTACTTCTACATGATTTCCAGCTATTTCTACCTTATTTCCAGTTACTTCTAGAGGCATCACACTTGCACCGTGAAACAAAATCAAAGAAGTAGTAACTATTAGTTTTTATTTACTGACTCATTGCATGAAACAGTAGATATCACTGAACCACAACAATTGTTAAAAACAAAAGGTAATACACAAGAGACTTGGAAGCCAAACAATGTTATTAAAAGCTACCTAATGAAGAAGGAGGAATTTGTTAAAATATGTCCCACCCACAAGGAAAGAAATCAAGAGCTAGTTTAGTTCTTTGTTAAACCCAGAGGAAAGATGTCGGGAAGGGCTAGAACTTGTGTTAAATATAGGCTTTTTGGAAATCGAGTTCATTGAAAGGACATAAAAAGAATTGCCCTATAGTTGATTATAGGGTGAAAGTGAAATAGATAGCTATAGTAACTAACTTTAAAACTGTTACGAGTGCTGCTTGAAATAATGATTTGGTAACTAATGTCCCATGCTCAAAAGGTACGTATCTCACTAACATTTCCGAAATGATTAATAAAATTTATTGTGTTTTATTTTGAGCTTCAAGCAAAGGTTGAATATAAAACGTCGCCGCTGGTTGTTGTCAAGTCGCTTTTTTATATTGACTAGTCAAATAACTCAGCTTTGAGCGATAGAATTCGTTCGAAACCACGTTGTTTATAGATTTTTGCGGGTCATTTCAGTGCGTCTTGTCTTGATTTTTAGTTTAGGCTCTTATAATAAACTCGTTAGAAAACACGTTCATTTGCGTACTGGGTTTGATATTGTTACAGTATTTTCAATTTAGCCTTACAATGTCTTCTATCTTAATTTTGCTGTGGCGCAGAGAATAAAGATTCCAAACGCGTTTCATTTAGTCTTGTGTGGTCATTTTAGCTTTAGATTTGTCTTGTGTCTTGATTCTACACCAGCGCAAATAAATAAAGATTCGTTAAACGCCTTTCCTTGCGTATTGTGTGGTTATTTTAGCTTTAGATGTGTCTTTTGTCTTGATTTTACGGCAGCAGCGCAAATAAATAAAGATTCGTTAAACGCGCTCCCTATAGTGTATTGTGTGGTTATTTTAGATCTAGATGTGTCTTTTGTCTTGATTGTACATGAAATAAAGATGGCAGTTGTCAAGTCTCCTGTGTATTGCCTTTTGTTTTAATGAACTGTGTTCTGGTTCAGTAATATCTACTATTAGTCAATAAATAGACACTAATATTTACTGTTTATTTTGATCATATTTCACGGTGCAAGTGTTATGACTCTATCATGTTTCCAACTACTACTAGCTAATGATAATCAAATTATTAGAAATAATCAGTTTAACATTAATWTAGTGAAAAAAGGTCTTTGATACATGACTCCCTCACGACTCGATCCCCTACCGTCCAGTCTATRTGCGCCGTCTTATACCATTACACCGGCAACGAGTTTCTTATGCGATTCCTCGCAGATAACATACTTATAAATCTTATGGATTAGGCTCATTAGGAATGYCATGAATAGCAGACAACGACAACTTGAATAGCTTCTGTTTCAGAAAGCCGTCAGGGAATTGAAGAACAACAAACGGTGCTTCATGTATCCAAAATTATGAAAACTGAAAACCTTGGTGGAGATGCAATAAATCAATATATTTCTGTTTTTACCCCTCCCGAATAATTAATGAGTATGAGAAGTCGTTCAAAGTCCTCCAATTCGGACTGGACGGGATTTCAAGTCCTTGCAATTAGTTCCAGTCCTCGGCTAACGCCTCTGACTGGAACTAATTGCGCGGACTTGAAATTCCGTCCAGTCCTCATTATCGGACTTTAATTAAACATTACTTATTGACCTCAATATTAACAGAATCTTTTTAACCGTATGAAACTGTTTGTTAAGAATAATAGCTGTTTAAACAAATTATATGCTCATT